TATATTTGAACCTGTATGTATAATTTTGAATCCCTTCTGGAGAAAATGTATTAATAATTAATTTCTGCTTTTCTAAGGTGTTTGATTGTCTTGTTGTGTGATCTTTTCAACCTGGAGAAGGAACATTGCAGAACATTCAGATCCCTAAATGTATACTTCATGATGGCTGCAAGTAAACCTCCGAGCAGAACTTGATGCATACATGTGAATATATCTACATGAATTTCCCCATTGTGGGAAAATAAACAGATTTTCTATTCTTTTTTTTATTCTATTCTATTCTATGAGAGACTTACAGGATATCATCTATTTTGGAGATGATGTTTTCAGCGTATGAACGTTCCCGCTCAAGAGTTACACGATCACGGACTCTTTCTTGGTCCAGTCTTGCCAGCTCAGCTTCAGCCACCGTTAGGCCCATACTACGCTTCTGCCTGAAATATGAAAACATTAATATTTTAATCTATGGGTTGCTGTTAAAATGGACAATGTTATAAGCTGTGGCCACATTTCAATGCCAAAATGAAGTAGCCAGAATCAGGGGCAAAGCAGCCTCATATGTGTCCATAAAGTAACCTATTTGTACTTTGAGATCAACAATTTGCAATCTAAGGTTTAAATACAATTTACAGGAAAAAAAATACCTCTTTTAAAAAAAAAAAAAAAAAAAAGACGACACATTTTAAAGTGGCCATGTTTACCTAAAATCCTCCAGGTTCTTCTCAACTTCAGCTTGCAAAGAGTCCTGCAGTGTTTGAACATGTTGCCTATTTATTTCCTCTGGTATTAGCTCTGTCCGCCGCCGGTCTTCAAAAAACAAACAAACCCCAAAGCGATACCCAAAAAAATAAGGTTAACAGAACAAAGAAAATAAAAACCACAAAACAAAATATCCCAAATGTGACACACTTACCAAGATCAGAGGAAACAGATTCTGGAACAGGAACCTTTAAATTCTGCAACAGAAAAAGGTTTTAAAACCAAGGAGTTGGTAGTGTATAAAAAAAAAATAAAAAATGGAACTTTTAGAAGAGAATGTGGATAATTCAGACAATAATGTTAGGAAATACTGGTGGTATTCAACAACTTAAAAAAAAAAAACGTAGACTCACTGCTCCTCGATCCATAAAAAAAGTGTGAAGGTCCAGGAAAACCCGTCTGGTCTCTTTGGAGTTGGTCTGCTTATAGAGCTCCGCATAGAGGTAGCACAACTGAGAATGGGACATTAGGACTGATTTAGAGGACGCCAGGCCACAGAGAAACAGATAATTACTATATTTAGAAGAGTCTTACCACAGGAGCAGGTTCAAACTGAGTGATGACATGATGGAGGAAGGCTGCGAGGTGCGCAGGGCGGGACTTGAGCTGCTCAATGCTGTTAAAGCTGTCACACTGGCCGTTGGTCTAAAAACACAAACTCAGTTTACTTTTCGGTATATGAGGAGTAATTATGTTTGACAAATGTTAACATTAATCTCTTAAAATCCAACCTGATCTTGGTCTCGAATAAAATCATCATCTTCAGCTCCGATAATGTGGGAGATAACGCGAGAAGACGATGGACTGCTGAATGCGGTGGGTGACAGAGAGTCCTGCAAATACATGCATTCATCATGGGAATAAATCTCATTCTTATTTTAGGTTATTAAATACCTATTTGAGGATAAAATGAGGATATAAACATGGGTGCACTAGGTCTAATTTATGCAAAGTTTCTCTGATTACCACATCAACATTTAACTATAGGCTGAAGTAAATAGATACCACTAGGTCAATCACATCACAAATGTAACAGTGGCCGCAATACTCATGATTCATCCACTGAAAAAGAAAAGCAAAGGACCATTCTAAGTGTGATACATGTTTGCTAAAACATTCCTGAAGGGATTGACTTTTTTACATTCTATTATTGATGATAGATAATATTATAAATAATGAATAAACAAAATTTAGTCATTTGGACAGAGCCTCTTTGCAGAAAATGCTCACAACCTACAGTGCCTGAAATCTTAAAGGTCAGAGTGCAAAGGTAAGGAAATAAGAAAACAGAAATGCATTATAACTTGATATCATCACTATCACTGTTTAGCAATATCATTGTCATCAAAAGGGTTTTTTTTTAATATTCGTGCAGCCTTACATACCCCCGGCAATACCATTTCAATGAATAAGTATTAACTTGCTAAAGATGTTGCTTTACTAAGAAAAGTAGGGCTGCAACTAAGTATTATTTTACAAATCGATTAATTTGTTGATTATTTTTTTCAATTAATCGATTAATAATCAGATAGCCAAAGGTTCCTTAAAGAAGAATTTTTACGAAATAAAACCAGGTGAAACCCAAACTTTTCCACTTGAGGCGTTCTGGATAGAGCATACTGACAGATATTTTTTAGATTTTTTTCATCTTAAATGTTTATATATTTTTTTTACAGTGTTGGTGTAATTACTCCTCTAATTGGGTTGCTCTTAAGGCCTGTTTTACAGTCTCTATACTCCAGTTAACGATAATTGATTAAATAATTGATAAAAATCCTTTTACACATCTCAAATTGAGTACTTAGGAAGAAGAATCCATCTTTTAAAATATTATTTATAGTTAAAGCAAAGCCGCATAATTTCTGTTCCAAGTATTAGTTTAATTTGAGATATATTAAATAAATTTTTAGGTCAATATACAGCACGGCACATGATGATGCTCCATTTGGGCTACCCTTTTCAATAACTTAAAGATCGGTCCTGTGGATAAATGAGTCATGTGACTCATGGCAGTCTGAGCTGTTCTTTTAGGAAATAAAACAGGTATGACACTTACCTGATCAGACATGTTTTTGTTTCTCTGATGCAGGATTTAATCTAGAGGGATGAATTTGGTTTTGTATTTACAAGTAACTCCATGATTTCTGAATTGGCTGGACTAAAGTGGTCTGCTATCAGTTTCCAAACTGCAGAGGCAGATAGTGCAGTGTTGCCAGTTTCTTTCATAGGTGTTATATTTGGAGGTTACAGGTCTGGCGCCCCTAGTGGCTACAAGTTACAAAGTACTGCTTAAATGACAATAATGGATGAACGCAAACTCATCACGAAAGTATACATTTGCCAAATACCAACATATAAACTCTCAATACTCTTAAAAAACACATTTGTTTAGGATTGACTTCGACTGTTCTAGTTAAACAGTTCAACTGAAACATCATTAGTTCAACTTTTTATATTTTCTTTAGTCCAACTGTTTTTAATATTCTTTTCTGTTTCTGCATTTTTTTCCCTACTTGCTTTGATTTACTTTTATTTTCCTATATTTTAATCATGTAAAGCACTTTGCATTGTCTTTGTACTAAATTGTGCTATACAAATAAATTTGCCTTGCCTAATAAAAATGAAAAAGCGTTCAAACACAGTTTAAATACCAGGTCAGTGGTATCCTCGATCTCTGGGGAGTGGCAAGAGTTGAAGCTGTTTCGGGGTGTGCTCTTTGGGCTGGGGCAGGAGAAGTCTTTAGGACAATGGCTGTCTGGAGATGCTGGTCCAAACGTATGTGACATCTGGAAACATTAAACAAACATTCAAAAAAAAAATGTGTAAGTATTTTTTATTTTTTTTTTTCAAAAAGAATCACAAAAAGACCCCAGTTATAAAATACAATTCATTTGTTTTTAGTCAAACTAACATATGAAAACAAAGCTAATGAACATTTTGCATGATGAGTGGCAGTCAGTACTTACAGGAGAGCTGCTCCACGGCAGATCTGTGCTGCTGTCTACTCGAGGGGTATGTGTGCGATCCGTTTCATATATGCTACTGTCGTCCGCATCGCCACTTGAAACAGCCTCCTGAAGATCCATGCAAGATTTGGAAAAGTTTTGAACAATTAAAAATGGCCCACTATCCACACAATGAAATATACCGATGTTAACAAAATAATGAGTGACAAAGTAGACTTATTGCACTTCCAGAATCTAATTTCACAAAACGCAGCAGGCTAACAAGCAGAAACACTCTAAATAACACATAAAAGATATAAAACACTCTGCCATGCAGACACAAAAGACTGGCTTCCCACAGAGGAAGCCTAATCCTCTGATGAGATTAGGATTAATGTTTGTCTGGAATTATCCCCAAATGTGCTACAAAAATTATTCAAAGATTGTGAGGATATTTCTGGTAGATGCGTGTTAGTGGATTTCCTCTTTTCTAGGCTAAATTTGGAAGCTGGTACCTGTGTTGTTCCAGTGGCCTTGAAGAGCTGACCCTGCAGCTGAGGAATGTGTTTTTTAGCATCCTGGATGTCTTTCAGTAGTTTGGGGGTGGGGTTCCTGCTGTACTCCTCTTTCAAAGCCTAGACAGCGTGAGAGGAGTGACCAGAACAAAGAATAGATTTCAGATATTTGTACACAAATAAACACAAAAAGTACTTTGCAAAAGTATTTGCACAACCTTTCAAATGGTGAAGTTTATTTGATCTAACTATGCAATAAAATAGCACACAACTGTAAATCTGACAATAATGCACTGTTTTCATTTTTTTGCTAATAAAAACATGTAAAATGTGAAGAAATTTCCAATTCAGCCCTATCAGGCAGCTACATAGAACATTTTGTTGCACTTCCAACTCCCAGTCTTGTAAATATGGATCTAGAACTTTGCACACCAAGAAAATGTTGCCCAATCTTCTGTTAGGATAACTATACACATTGCCTTTCCTTAAAGGCACACTATGCAACATTTTTCAGTTAATTAATGTGTTCCATAACGTTATGGATGATTAAATGAGTCATTTCAGGTTGAACAAAGGTATTCTCGGCCGCCCTGGTGGTCTGTGGGGGAAATACTGCACTTGCAACTGCAGGAGCACCGACCCGCACCCACAGGCTCAGAAGTCTTGTGAGAGTCAGTCTTGCTTTACGGCGAGAACTGCTACACCCCCCAGTTAAAAGCATGCTCGTTGCTAGCACAGTGGCAATCTTTGTGCAGTTATGCTACGTTCACGCAGCAAAAGCAGCAAAATCGCGTCTGCTGCTTCATTTTTGCTGCTTGTACCAGTTAGTTCTGACGCGCGGCTGAAGCAGCTTTGCTGCTCTGGCTGCGCGGTGCAAAAGTGTGTCTGACGCGCGTTGGGCGGAGCTTCACTATCCTTTCTCTGCCTTGCAGCTATATTTGCTGTGATCAGTGGGAATAAAGTAGTTTTAATATGTTTTTAAGTGAGAAAATACACCTGAAAACGTAATCAGTGCAGTCAGTTCATTCAGATTATTATCCTGCCTTCAATATTTTTTCTGTCGGAGCTGCTCAGACCCCCACATACCAGGGATGCGCCGACAGTATGGATCCCTTCATCAGCAGCGGTTCACCGCGGCAGCTGGTAGGTGTTTTTCATCTAAATAATCCAAACTGCATATTCTGCCGCAGATTTCTGCATTTTAAGTTAATTTAGGCATCAATAAACTGTTTAAGAGGAGTGATCATCAGCGCTGTGTCTCTCTCCCTGCGTTAAACGCACCCGACGCGCTGCTTCAGCTGCTCAGACGTGCTGCGCCTGCAGCTCAAAACGCGCCGCGGGACCTTTTGCTGCGCCTTGACGCGCGTCAACCATTGACTTTGCATGTAAACTCGCTGCTTCTGTCGCGCCAGCTGTGTCCAGTGTGAACGCAGCATTAGTCATTCGCTGCTAAGCTCAAAACAACCGCGCCTGGCTTGACGGAGAAACCAGGAGAACAGCTGTGCATATTTACGACAGTGCACTTTTACTTTCGCCCTCTGGGGGGAGCCTCACTGGAAAATCAACACCGGTTGCATAGTGTACCTTTAAACACTTTGCAAAAGAGATCAGGCTCAATCAGACTGAATAGATAGTGTATTATACCCCTTTCCCGCTGGCCAAAAAACCTGATTAAACCTGGGAACAATTGGCTTTTAGACTTAGACAACTTTTATTGTCATTTTGTATGTACAGAGTGTGTACAAAACGAAACATTTCCATTACTTAAAGATATGCAGTGATCAAATGTAAACAGTGTGGGAGAAAAAAACTGATGCAAAAAAAGCATTGATATGGAAGTCCACAGCATTAAATATATACGTTGCAATATGCAGAATTTTGGATTGGTGTTATCAGTGTGATGTGGAGTGATTCTTAACGTGATTAAGAGTTTTCTCAACAGTTCAGCTGTCTGATTTTGGTGGGGAAGAAGCTGTTTTGGAATCTGCTGGCCCTGCATCAAATGCTGCAAAGATCTAACAAGCCGAAATAACTCTGTTTATACTGGATAAAGAACATGAAAGAGGGATTCAGACAGATAGCAGAGCAAAACAATAAAGCACACTGACTACGCCCTGGCTTCTTTACATGGAGCTCTCCATTGTTTACTTTTGTGATTTCTGTCGCACTGCTGGCAGCATCAACGTGATGGTGTCACCAGACATGCAGTGACGGTGGGATAGAGGGCTCGCAGATTGCCAGCGAGGGGTGAGACATGGCTTTTTTTGTTAGTTGGAAGGGAGCCAAAGACCGATTGTTAGTAGGTCGACCCATGTTTGAAAAACCTGCGTAACCCTGGTATTTTCAGTGCGAAAGGCTTTTGTGACCATGAGCTTTTAGGTCTGTTTCCACTGCATTTTTGTCTGAACTTTGACTGGATATTTCAGGACACATAAATGTTGGGTTTATGTTTCAGCTGCTGGGCTTTTATTTCCCCCCTAACAGCCCATCAGTTGATGGGGTGGCAACTGTAAGTCAGCTTTCTCTTCCATAGGGGTTAAATTTGTGTCTTCAGCTGTTCTGAATAAGGTAGCAGTTTGACAGGATAGTAAGGAGTCTGACGGGAAAAAAGACACAATCGGAAAGTAAAATATATCCGCTTCAGGGAAAATAAAAAACAAAATCCCTGAATCATAAGGTAAACCAGCCAGGTTTGTTCCCATAAAGGTTTATGTAGAAACACAGGGAACACACTGTGTGTGTAGCAATCAGGGCTGACATGAAGATTAACAGTTAATAAAACACTCCAACAAACAGTGTACATACTCGTGGTAGGAGTTCAGAACTGTAGAAAACAGATAGAAACAGCAATCCACTTTTAACTTGTTAGAGTAGCAAATACAGTTTAACCTTTGCTACCTGCCTTGTTTAAACCTACATACTGTCCTTTGAATGCTCAATCTCCCGCATCTGTTGGGTTCATAGGAAGACCCTCTATGCAATCAGTAGGACAGACACAAATAAAACATATAGAAGCAAATTTTATTCAATTTTGGATGATGAACAGAACAGTGAATGATTGTGTGATAGTAGCTGAGCTTCCATCAAAATGAGATGGGAATTTTAAGCAGACTTTTAAAAGGTCTAAAAAAAAATAAGCGCAAATTAGATGTGTTTTCATCAAGTGGAGCAAAAACACAAGGCAATGCAAAGGGTAAAAATGTAATAAATTGGCTGTAATCGCTTGGCTGCAGTAAAGAGGAAGAAGAGTTAGCAAGCTAGTGCGTAGCACTGATCAGTGATGGACATTTTTAATAAATACGTTGAAATCAGGTAAGGTTTATATACTTTATCATGTCAGCTACCATTAGAAACAGTTCATAGACATCGAGAGAGAAGCGTGATTCTACTCCTGCATTCAGGATGCCAGCGGCAGCGGAAACAGCTGATCAGTCATGTAAAGTAAATATTTGTTACATCAGAACTTATTTTAAAAAATGTGTTTTAATTGCTTCTTTGGTGCATTAACACTTGAAAAAAAAATCAAAGATCACATCAAGCGAGCATAGAAACCTTTTTGAAAAATTGGGTAAGGTAGTATGAATTTTGCTGTTATAAACATCCTGTAATGCAATACTTTAACATAATAAAGGGTCAGTATGTAAGTATTAAGAGAAAATGTTCAGTATAAATCATGTTAAGTCAGACTATTAGTAAATGGCACAAAGACATTTAATAGGAACTTAAAAAAAAAACAAAAAAAAAAAAAACAATGAGATAGATACATTATTCACAATGGCTCTATTCAGGAGCTGTGCAAAAAGTTAGGTAAAGGAGCCCACTGCCCAGGAAACATACAAGCGTTAAAGTAAAAGACAGTAGATAATAGACATTGTTATGCAAACCTGCAGATCCTGCTGTTCTTTTGAGAACTTCTTTTGCATAACATCAGTCTTCTGGTTGCAGCCGCTGCTGTTTTCCTCCTAAGGGTTAAACAGAGTGGCAACTGATGAGCCTATATCTGTTTATTGAGGCTAACCTTTATTTAAGATTATTTGAGGAAAGCACATAAGCAAATATGATAAACATGTATTTTTCGTACCCATGAAGGGTGTAAGGAGGGAAGGCGGTCCTGAGGACTATAGGGGCGCTCTGCTGCAGGAGAGTTTGGGGAGGATAAGCTAACACCCAAGATGTCAGGTTCTGCTTCAGGCAAAGGGATCTGGGCGAGCCCTGGAGGGCGTCCCAAAACCGTGAGGGCCACATAGGAGCCCGCTGGAACGAGAAACCAGATGAATTACACAATGTCATCTTCAGCTTTATTCTATTAAAATTTTTTGGTAAAATTGGTCTGGAGGAACTAACATTTGATAAGCTTCACTACTTCTGTGTGATTAGAATGTGTAACAAGGGTCCCGTTAACCTGGAAGACAACAGTGGCATAACAGTGAAAATTCAAATGACATGGGGGAAAAAAATACATGCAAAGCTGATCCAAAGAAAATTAGAACATCAAATGACACCCAATGTCCAGAAGATGGCAGCATACCACTGCTTTACCCAACCAAGACCCATATTTATCAATTTCTTTAACATTACATTACCTTGATGATCCTGTCTCCTGTCTGAACACCTGCCCGCATTGCAGCCCCGTCTGGCAAGCACAAAAAAAAAGCATTGATTTGTCTCAAGGGGCAGGACAGAGACAGAACAAATAAAAGAAAAACATTGATTTTAAAGGAAGGGAAAACAAATGTCTTCACGGGTAAATTGTTGATATTTCTACACAATGAATACTAAATATTGCCTCGATAGCCCAGATGTGGCAAAGGGCCTATTTTGGAAGCCCATAACAGTAGTTATATTACAAGTAAGACCTGTTTCACAGCTCCACCCCAAACAAAGGGATTTAGGCATGAGACGGGTTATTATGGGAGCCACGTCTGACTCTACACCCAAGAGGGTGAAGCTGGAGAAGTTTTTAAATCCCAAAAAACAAAACAAAAAAAACAACAAGGCTTGTCAATGGCCTATAACTGCAGCATAGAAAACACTGTGGGTAAACATGCAACCATTAAACACAGCTATTATGTATTACTATATATGCAGAATGCTTCTGAAGCATTGTTGTTTTTTTTTCTTTAGGGCAGACCTAATAATGAGGAACAGAAAGAAGAGTTTCAATGTCTGCATCACTGTTTTCCTTACAGTCTACTACAAACTAATGGATCACCTGTTTAAAATGGAAAAACATGCATCTTTTTGTTTATAAATGAAATATTCATTATAAGTCACTGAAAGTTTTCTTAAAATCGAGCTAACACTTATTGGAGAAAATAATCACAACTTGCATGAAAAGGTGCCATGTTTATATAGCCCCCTGGTAGGTGAAATATATTCATGTAACACCTTTAGCAGCTGTGAAAATTATACACAAAAACAAATAGTACTGAGAAATAAAAAAAAAGTGGTGTAGCTGTATAAGACTGTTTTTAACTGGTTCTTTAAAAAGTGAGTAGAGTTTATGCAGTGTAAGGACAGTGGTAGGGATAGCCAGAGGGCTGAAAATTCCAGTCTTCAAGAGTTTTAAAACAATCCATAACTCAATTTCAAAATGTTCCTTAAAAAGCACATTCAGAAGAAATTTCATTGATGCACGCTTAAAATATATTCCTAATCCCTAATTGTGCGGTTTGCATCAGAAAGAACCCAACATCCTTGGGCTCCTGAATGCACCTCTACATAAAAATAACATGTAAACCGCTTGTTTTGTTTGTGGTCCCATTAGATGCTGTCTACATGCTGACTGATTGTCTGGGAGAAAAATGCTTTACCGTTCTGTCATCACGAATGTAAACAGGAGTGGTGTGAAGCTAAAATCCCAACTATAAATAAAGAACGGCAGAGTGAGAAAGCAGCATGCCCTCTGTTAAGTACAGTGAAAGATTTGTTGCTGGTGAGGGTATCTTTAATTTCAAAAAGCCTTGGGAACCTCGTTAGAACATAAGGCATAACCTACATAAAATCTGGTCACTTCAGACAGAAAACCAAGAGTTTGCTTTCATGGGTATAAATAATTAAATATAAATGAACAAAAAAAGAAATCAATAAAGAAATTGTCTAAAAGACAAACCAAAAACAAGAAGGCTGACCTTCGTCTTTGGGGATCTCTGTTCACAGCCCTAAATTCTACAGAAAAATGAGGTATAAACTGAAAAAAAGATGGCATAGAGCACTGTGTCTGATTGCTTTGAGATACTGACAGTAGCAAACGACACTAAGATGAGTCTTATCAGGAAACCTTGGTTGATTACTATATGACTCATTATGGGCATTTTAATGCAGCATCTGGACTTGATCCATGGAAAATGACTCCTTTAGCACATAGCCTAGTCTGTTTCTCAGCAGCAATCGGAGTTCTTATATCCAACTCTAAGTGTGTTTCTATCTTTATACAAAAGACAGGGGAAGCTGTTTTTGTATGGCCTTAGAAACGGGAGCACATTAGGTAAACCAGAACAGACAAGCCTTGATAACAGGGCAACAAAAACCATAAAAGAGTTCCTTCCTTTTCTTTTTTCGGACACGACAGCTTGTGCTTTTTTTAGAGGTCGACAGCAGAACTACATCACCATCTACAGGCACTCAGAAACTATAAGCACTGACTCAGAAGCATTCTACAAAAAAGTGCAGATAAAGTAATATAATGCAGACTGATTTTAAGTTCAAGACTTATGACTCATCCCAGTCATCAGTTTGATACCGAAGTTTAAACGATATTTTGTGAAACTGATGTTTCAACATATATTTTAATGTGAAGGTATATAGCTCACATCTTGCTATTGTACAATAGGAACTGGTTTTTCTTCCTTTTAAGAGAAACACTAAACTTTACCTTCTTTGACCAGCTGCACAAACACAGGGTTGTCACCACTGACAGTGAGCCCAAAGCCATTTTCATCTTTCTGGATGATCACACATCGTTGGACCAGACCTGTAAAGTGAGACAGGACAGAAAATACAAGACAGCATGTTCACAAAGATGAGGAAGTCCATGAAAGACGGTACTTTTTACTTCAACATTCTGAGGTTAACAAATAGGAAAGTTAATTTTGGTTAAGTTTCACATCCCTTTGAACAAACAAAAAGAAAATACCAAAATTTGTGTTTGTTCCTCCTACTCTATTAGTCATAGTGAAATCTGTCTTAAAGGGAAATCGATGTAACCAGATGGGCATGAACTGTAGAGCTGTTGGTGAGCAATGTTTTTAAACAGCTGATATGTAAACATACACATTCTTATAGCATCCAGAAGTTAAGACTCAGGGTTAAAACAATCGGATAAATTAGTTATTGAAATAATGATCTAATCTATTGATCTGATAATAATTAGCTAGAATTGACAAACTAAGACAACATTTGATGAAAGAACAAACAAACCACTCAGAGTGGTAAGCTAACCAAGTACATTTTTAGCTATTAACTATCCTCCTAAAATATGCTATGATATGTTTATTTTTTAAGTTCAAACACTTGTTAACTGAGACTTGTTAATTTGAAAAGAAATATAATAATTGCTACATAAACTGATTAATAAAGTAATGAAAAGCTGCTGCCCTACTCTGGATAAGAGAGTAGATAATAACAATTGCTTCATGCCAATAGTTAGGAATGGGAAAACTAATAATTCTTAACATGTTTTAGTATCAAGGTAAGACTATGTCCATTCAGTCCAGAAAACAAACATTTTTTTAAGGAGATATTTTTGCAAGTTTTTCTTCACCTTGAACTTTTTCACATTTTGTCACCATCAACCAGAATTTTCTAATGACAGAACAATAAATTAAGCGTTCTCCTTATGGTGCGTTCACACATAACATGGTCTGGACGTCAAAGCATCTGATACACATGCAAAAGTTCAAAAATCGGAACTTTTGCAGCTTGACACGAAGCATTAACCAATCAGAGAAGTTAATCTAGGAGTTTTTTGGGGAGACAGACTATATGCGAGCAGTTATCACATATGAACACATAATAAAAGTAAATAAATATAATCCATTCTTCTGGTTTTAAAAAGCCAGAAGAATGGATTGTTATATATAAGAAAAAGAGAGCTGAACTATGGCGAAACAGTAAATACCTACATTCCCTAAAAATATTAAAACCTGCTGGCAAAAAATTATTTTATATTGTGGGTAGGGGTGGGTATTGGCAAAGAAGTCACGATTCGATTCGAATCACGATTCACATGCCACGATGCGATTCTATCACGATGCATCACGATACTTGAA